GTGGACATGTGGACTTTGTTATGTTTGTCTGAACCTTTTTATTATAGGTTGCAGTTGTGTGGTATATTAAAACTAATTGTACTTGTGATAGCCAATGATTTATTTCAGTTAGAACTTAGAAAATGATTTTGGATATTTTCTTCTAGGCCCCTGTTCATAATGTCGATCAAATGGTTTTGAAGCTGGCACTTTCGGCCCCTGTCGTTGCAGTTGCTTCTCCTTCTGCCATTTGGTGAGTAACTCGTTACTTGTTTGTCTTATGACATGTGGATTGGTTTCTCTGAGCTATCATGTCAGTGGATAGACAACTTTACTTAATCTTGAGCTTGTCTCCATTGCAACAGTGCCTGGGTCAATCTTATTTCAGAGTTAGAGCAATGGAACAATTCAGTTGCCTGTATTGGTGAGACAACTGCTAAGGCTGCTAAGAAATTAGGCTTGAGAAATGTTTACTACCCAGCAAATCCAGGTCTTGAAGGGTAATATGAACTTTTCTAACCTTTTCTTATGTACTATTATTGCCACAACACTAGTTTGCATTATATAACAGTATCAGTCATACAATTTAATTTGATATTCCTGAAGACTTTCATTAGCCTTTTCTTCTAAGTTTGGATTTCCTTATATATAATTTTTCCCCCAGATAATTTTTCTATAATTTTTTAACCTTTTTTTTAAATTTTTGGATGACAGATGGGTGGGTAGCATCATTGAAGCGTTGCAAGCAAATGTCTGTCTGTAAACTTGTAAGCATTGTATTTCTTTCAGGTAGATTTTTGCTTGTACTAATTTTAGTAACCTGCATCTTCTCTTTTCCTGTGGGTATATAGTAGATTAAATGAGCAGTGCGTCTCCAGTTTTCTCCCAGGCCCATGAAGGCTGACAAGAAGATGGTGTAGAATTGAGGCAGCACGAAGAACAAACACACGAATAGCGAAATTTCACAATTTCTGCATAAGCCAGCTGCAAAGCAAGGATTTAATATTTTGCAAGCAGCAGGACAGAAAGAGATGGAGATATTTAACACCCCAGAGGGACCATATTCATTCGGCAGACAGAGCTTCCTCTAAGCGGCCTGTGAAAAGGCTGTTGGGATCAAATGTGGAAGAGAAAGCTTGTTCTCTTAGATGTATAATTCGTTATTTAGATAAAAGGTAGGGAATTCTTTCTCTAGCTTTGTACATTTTTTATTATTCTTATAGTGAAAGCTCATTTTATGAGAGTTCTTTTCATTTTCATCTTATGTCTCACGCTTTAACTGCCGTAACAATGCAGATGAATGAAGGATAGATTAGAGTGATTTATAACTATTTTTATTCTCGAGCTTCAATTATTGAATAAGAATTTAAAATAGGATTTACAGATCAAGCACTGTTGAACCCTCGGAAATAAATTAAATACATAGATATTCAAATAATATTGAGGGAAATTAAATAATTGAGTGCTCTTAAGAGGAAGGAAGAAGCTCCCCCTTGAGGAAAGATGAGATCAAGGTAAGCGCTCTCTGTGGTGACTTCACT